CAACAAATTTCTCTCATCCATCCGAGATTTTCTCCTTCCAAACTCTCTGATTTCGATGCTCAATGTTGTCGATTTTATATCTTGCAACTTACCTATGAGTCTAAATTATAGTTTTCATGAGAACTACTATTAAACCATTTGTTAAATTTATTCTTAAGTTCAATTCGATTGAAAACAAATAACAGGTGTTTATCTTATTTTTGAGATTTTTTATTTTAAACATACGAAGTAAATAAAAGTGATTTTTTTATATGATGGTTGATGTTTTAGGATTCATCAGTTTACCATAACCATCTCCTTAATCTCAATGACCAAACTTTATAACAATTGATTATGCGTACTGGATTGATTCTTCTAACTTATTCAATTTGCCTCTCTCGAGTTTAAATTGATTCTATTTAACTTAGTTAAACTCTATGGGAAGTGCTATAGGTACATAATTGTCTACATAATGTTGTTTATAATTACACGTGGCGCTGGATCCAACTTTTAATTCAAATTTTACACTTGCACATCAATAAATGGATGATTAGGGCTGGACAAAACTCCCGAACCGAACCGACCGAACCGAACCCGAACCGAACAGAACCGAACCCGACGGTTCTTCTCAAGTTAAATACCCGAACGGTTATTTGAATCAAGAACCGACGGGTATGGTTCGGTTCTCGGTTCTAGGCCAAGACCCGAAGAACCGAATAAGAACCGAATCTCCATAATTTTTTAAATTAATTTATTTTAAATAAGTAAAATTATTTTACTTTTTTCTAAATAAATTTATTAACTAGTTAATTTAGTTCAAACCACAAAATATGATTTTCCTATTTCTAATATTCAGTTCAAAATCGACTTAATTAAATTGACCTCAATTTTATCCAAATCTGTTATTCTACTGTAATGTCGTTTTTACTGGAGAAAATCGAATTAAAGTTCTACAACATCTCTCTTAATTATTTTGAGCTCGCTATATTTCTCTTTCTGTAATTTTAATAATCAAATTTATGAAAAATTCAGCAAAGAAAGACGTGAAATACATAATATTGAACTACGTTAATTTGTAAAAATTAATATTAAATATATTATTAATTAAATTAAAGTAACTTTGTATATATTCAAAAATTTAATTATAATACGGAACCGAATGGAACCGAACCGGACCGAACCGAATCGAATGGAACCGAACCCGAATTGTTCCGTAATTAAATTTGGACCCGACGGTTCCACTTACTAAATACCCGAAAATTTCGGGTCTATTCGGTTCTCGTCAGAACCGAACCGAACCGGACCATGTCCAGTCCTATGGATGATTGCTACATCATTTTATGGACACCATTATATGCAATAATTATATACATGTAGAATTTTTTAAATTCTATACCTCTATGTGAATTCTTATACCTTAGTTAAATGCATTAATTTTTTAAGAACTCGTGTAACGCATACTAACTAGAAAATACATTTATATGCTTTTATACTATCTCCTAACTTTTACTACGTGGTCTAAACAAATAATCCGCCTCTTGATATAATTATCACTCACAAAATCAATGGAATAGTTGTCAATTAATCCAAGTATTAAAACTAAAAGTAAAAGTAAAAAACAATTACAACATCAATTGGAGATTTAAAACTTTTTGCCTAAAATTAAAGTTCAAAACTAGGTCACAATCATTCATTTTAACTAATTATTTAATGTCACATCATGAAAAAATATAATAAATCAAGATTGAATTGAAGTACACCATTGGGTTTTAAGAGAAAACCAAAAAAAGATGAAGGCCTTGCACCAAAATTTTGCCTTCTTCTTTTAAAATCATGAAACCCTAACTTTTTAATTGATTTCTTGATTTTCCCCCTCCTTTGGACTTGTATAATATATATGTACAATGAATCCCTCAAGTCTTGGCCTGAATATATGCGTATAATGAAACCTTACAAGTCTTCTTTTATTGTTAGATTACGATATTATTTATAGAACAAGATTTCCATCAAAGCGTTTGAGCAAGAAAAAAAGAAAACGAAAGGAAGAAATAAATCCATTTCTCAATTGAACTATGTTTCTTATGTGATTTTAGTCTTTCATCTTCTAATATTTGTAATTAAATCCTCTTCATTCTAATTATAGTTGACCCGAGGCAAGTTTTAAGATGTTGTAATTTAATTCCCAAATTTTTAATTGCCGAATTTAATTCTCGAAACCTATGAAGTTTTATTGAATGCTCCATTAATTCTTTCAATTGATCTCTTGCACTATGATTAATCTTCAATTGCTTCAAATCATCAGCTAATAAGCTCTAAATAACTTCTTTTAACATAAATTGTATCCAAGTCGAAATTTTTCTACAACTAACATAATCTACACAGAATTGAGTAGGTATTCACTTAATATACATATAAATAGATAATAATAGAAGCTCGAATAAGCGTATAAAATGCACTTATCACTCAAATAGGAGAAATGGTGAGATGATAAATTGAGAGGGAGGTATTTGAATTTTCATATCCTCATCCTCTTTAGCAAGAGTATTTATAAATTCACTTGGAAGATTTAGGTTATTCTAGAAAATAACAAGTGGCGTTCGTCTTAGTGATAGATTGATAACTGGTCCTGTTATGTATTCACATGTTATCGCCAGTTTAGATGTCATTCTTTTCACATTTATCTATGTGTATTTTAATAACAACTTTTGCCGCTATATGGGGGATGGTTTAACCCTTCCTTCCGGAGCTTTCTACATTTTAATTATGTTTGTTTACTTTTCTACTTCGCCTCAAGGGCTGCAAGCTCATAGTATATTTTTATTGATTTAAGAAATAGTATCCGAAATTCGATTTTATTATTCATATTAAATTAAGGATTTGTAAATATGTTCAATGTTAAATCATTCTTGAATGACTCTTATTCCTCTTGCCTCACACCATTCAATCCGCATATCCTATCCTGCTTTTAGCGAATGCCCTAAGACAACTAATTTAGTGGTGGCTAGTTATTGATCGAGCTTATCAGTAACTAGTACATCAGATTCTCCTTTCTACTATATTTTTTTGTTGCAGGTTGGTGAGGAATGTTATAAGGATTCATAAGATTTTTTGCTTTTTCAATCTTAACGACGATTGCGCTGATTATACCTTCTTTCATGAAAGTTCATCATGTCTACAAACCTCTTTAGGGTGGGTTTATTTATTCGTCGCTCATTTCGCTTCATTTCTGACATACTATAGTAGCTTCCTTTCTGACATACTATTGTAGCTTTTTACTGTTCTCAAGGGAAGAAGTTGGTAATAGGATTCATTACAATCTCACCGAATCCACCTTGTAAACTTGCCCTTGAATTCTCGAACTTTGCCCGCGAAGATTCATTTTCCGCTATTAGTTTTGTGAGGTTTTTCCGCTATTTCTTATATATTCTTTATTGTGGATATCTTCTTCCATAAGCAATAATGTTGAGTGAGGGAAATGTAACTTCCGTTGTTCTTCCTTCCATCACTTCTCTTTTGCATTACCATTCATGGGATCGTCACTGTGCTTTTCGATAGACGACACCAATTCATTGACCATAAAGTTACAATCAACGAATTTCGCTTGTGGTTTCGATGCTTAAACAGGAGCAAGAAGGGAGATGGCTATTTCGGTGGAAGATATTTGAATTTGCATGTCTCATTCTCTTTGACATGGGTATCTATAGATTTCCTTGCAGGCTTTAGGTCATTCTAAGAGATAACGAGTGGTGATTGTTTAGTGGTAGACTGATAATTGATTCTTGTATGTATTCGCATATTATTCATTGAATTAAAAGTTATGATTTTAACATTTATCCTCGTGTATTTTAATGCCTTTTGCCGCCATATAGGGAGTGGTTCGTCTCTTCCTTCCATGAGCCTTCTATATCTACGTTTTAACTACCCTTGCATACTTTTATAATTCGCCTCAAGGGATTTGAGCTCATAGGACTTTTATTATTTATTTATTCATTTATTTTTGATTTAATCAGAAGTTAAAAAATTAGTTTTCAAACAAAAATTACAATACCTTATGCAAGAAAACCTTCTACTCAAAAGCGATAACAAAGATCATGCCAAATGTGCCCCTTAATCTTTCACTTTTCATTATATTCATCAAAACATTTTGTAAGAAGCTTTCCTGACTACTTTACTATGGTCATATACATCAATGACAAGTAGATATTGGTTAGAGAAACATATCCTATAAAAAAATCTCCAAGTAGAACTGAATGTAAGCACTAGGATAATCGGGAAGAACGATAGCTCGAAAAGTTAAAAATTAGTAATTTTTATTAACAAATTTAATGGACTCAATCTTATATGTACGTGAAAATAAGTCATAATGATGAACATCCTCCAAATCTCAATTTAATTATCACGCATTCCTCACTTTTTCCCACATTGTTAAACTATTTTGTCTCAATTTTGATTGGCCCCAAAAAATTTAATAGAAATTTTTTTACATGACGTCTATATGTCAAGTTATTAAAGATGTGAATAGATTCTGCCCACATCTAAGGGCTCGGTTGGCATGATTTTTACTTTTATCTCTCATAGAAGAGTTTTTGAAAATAATTATCTTAATTTCTATTTGAAAACTATTTTTTAAAAGAGGTTTTCATTCTAGAAATACTTTTAAAGAATGGTACATTGGACCAGTTTCCTCTAAAAACTCTTCTTAATAGAAGAAGTCTTTCATAAAATTAGCCAAACGATTTAAAAGCAACTTTTGGATGTTAAAGCTCATTTTGGCTTTTCAAAAGCCATGTCAAATAGGACTTAATTGTGCTGATAAAACTTTGAGGACCAACTTGTTCGTTTAAGAAGACTGCAAACCGACTTGCTACTCAGTCGGTAAGATGGGACAAACGGCGAACATTTGTACTCTGATTTTAACCCTAGAGACCTACACCTGTCTCTCTCTCCCCCCTCCACCCGCCCCCCCCTCCTGTTCACACACATTACTCGCACTAAAAAGTTTTTAAAGACACCAAAAATGATTGAAATCTTTTTAATCGAACAAAGTCAATAATATATATGGGATTCTCAATTCTCTTGTACTGCACAAAGAGAAAAAGAACTGCAATCGAAACATGGCTTTAGAAGCCCTTTCTTCTAACGAACTCTTGAACTTCGTCATCTATGACTCCATTTCTTCTACCCCATATAGCTGCAATGACTCGTCAGACGCTATTAGCTTGTTACCTCAAGCAAATGTTGTTGGCTGCTCCTCCATGCCACCGCCGAGCCACCCACCAGAGGCAACAGAAACAACCCAAAAGCCACCGGAATTTACCGTGCAAGGCCGCAAGAAGAGAAGGAGAAGACCAAAGGTGTGCAAGAATAAAGAGGAAGCTGAAACACAAAGAATGACGCACATTGCTGTTGAAAGAAATCGCCGTAAACAAATGAACGAGCATCTAGCCGTCTTGCGATCCCTCATGCCGGAATCTTATGTGCAAAGAGTATGATAATTTTCTTTACTGCAAGAATTCGATATCTAATTTTATTTTTACACAATTTCAAGTAAAAAAATTGCACACTTTATGTCCTATATTTACATTTTTATCATCAAGGAGGGCAATTTTTTGGTGGGATGAGAATTTTAGTCAATATGGTTCAACGGTGGTTTGATTCCAAAGCTTAGATCTTATAATTTATCTGTCTTTTTGGACATATATTCTTGTTTTGATTAGATTGAGGAAAAGCCAATAATTCCAGCTGTGAGAATATTTTTATTGCTACAAGGGCAAATTCAGTTTCTCGTGTCAATAGATCTGATATACAGTGCATAAATTAGTTCATAGATTCTTGTGCTCTTCTTCAAGTTCTATTCAAAATCTATTGAAAAAAGATTCCAGCCTTTCCCCAAATCTTTTTATTAAATCTATTAACATATTAGCATGATTATTCATTCGTAAATTAACAAAAAAGAAAACCCTAAATAGCAAATTTCTATTTTTTTAATATTTGGCTGCAGGGTGACCAGGCCTCAATTGTTGGTGGTGCAATAGAATTCGTAAAGGACCTCGAGCACGTTTTACAGTCACTAGAAGCTAAGAAATTCGTACTACAACAAGCTGCTACCGCTGAGACAGGAGATGCAAATGACCACACGCATGGCTCTAACAAAATGTTAAAAATCAACCCTTTTGCTCAATTTTTCTCACATCCACAATTCAGCTGCTCTAATTTACACAACAATTATACATCCCAGAATTCAGCAGCCATTGCAGAAATTGAAGTCACCTTGATTGAAACCCATGCAAACATGCGAATCCTTTCCCATCGAAGATTTCGACAGCATTCCAAGATTGTTTCTGCCTTTCAGGCTATGTTTCTCTCCATACTTCACCTCAATGTCACCACTTTGGACCCACTCGT